CTAGTGATATTCTCCTCACAGAAGCTGCTCCCTGCCTGCCAAGAAAGCCTGTGCTTCAGAGGTATGACGTGCTCCCAGCCACACAGATATATAGCTGTGGAGCTGTCGGTGGTGTTGCCAGGATCACACATCTGCTCCCTGCCAAACATCTTAAGCATATTCTTTGGAGAAATTTAACAGTTTCTCAAACCCTCTTTTGAAGCCAATAAAGTTTAGCAATGCCTCCAGCACCCAGGCAGGCAGGAAGGAGCAGAGACCAGCTATATAAAAAAAAGGTTAAAAAAAAAGGCAGGTCCAGATGAGAGAGGAAAGGAAGATGCTACACGTAAAGCAAATATTTTCTCCACTGCCTGGTATTACAAGTGACCACACAGATTCAGAAGCCTCCAATTCCTGGGGTAGAAACTCACCACAGCAAGATGAGAGCCTATGACTGTAGGTAGGCAATCTGACAGCATGATCAGACGCCAGGCATGCCAAACATACCAAATCCCTCTGGCACTGTTTAGAAATCTTCCTACAAAATGGTGGTTTAACATCTCTTACGTTTTCTCCCTCTTGCCCCAGTTTTTGTCCTGCTAAGATTCTGCCAGTGGTAAAACATCTTCCACCTCTGCACCACACAATGTCCACATATACAGGGCCTCAAACTCCATTATTTATGAATTCAATCTCAGGCGGCACATAACCTCTAAATACTTCTGTAATAAAGGCACCAAACATCACTGCTGATTTTACAGGCTACCTCAAAGCATCAGAAAACCCTCATCACTTGTCTTCAGCATCAACAGTTTAGAGCACCTGCTTGTACTGACTACACAGGCATCAGAAGGAGTGCATTGAAGAAATAGCCTGTGTAACAGGTTCTCTTGTCCCTGAGCGACAGCTGTCCAAAGGAGTTTTTTATTTCAATCCTTGCTTTTTCTTAATACATGGCCTCACTAACATGGAAGTGGGAAGCACCAGCTTATATCCAGAACTCTGACACCTTGGAGAAGCAGTTCTTTTCCTTGTATGCCCAAGATGCCCAAGCTGAAGGCCGTGGGGGTGCTGCTGGGTGAGAGGCTGGACATGACCCAGCCATGGGCACTCCCAGCCCAGAGAGCCAAACGTGTCCTGGGCTGCATCCAGAGCAGCGTGGGCAGCAGGGGAGGGAGGGGATTCTGCCCCTCTGCTCTGCTCTGGTGAGACCCCACCTGGAACCCTGCATCCAGCTCTGGGGGCCCAGCACAGGAAGGACATGGAACTGCAGGAGTGAGTCCAGAGGAGGGACACCAAGAGGATTAGAGGGGTGGAGCACTCTCCCTGTGAAGACAGGCTGAGGGAGTTGTGACTGTTCAGCTTGGAGAGCACAAGGCTCTAGGGAGAAAACAAAGCTGGTGAGGTGAGGGAATTTCGACAAGATAGTGACAGGACAAGGGGCAATGGCTTTTAGGTGCCGCATGTTTAGACTATATGTCAGGAAAAGATTCTTTACTGTGAGAGTGGTGAGGTATTGGAACAGGTTGCCCGGGGAAGTTTTGGGTGCCCCATTCCTGGAAGTATTTGTTCAAGGCTAAGCTGGGTGGGGCTCTGAACAACCTGGTCTAGGTAAAGGTGTGCATGCCCACACCAGGAAGTCAGGATTAGATGATCTTTAAGGTCTCTTCCAACCCAATCCATTCTATGGTATCCCAGGAAACAACCTGGGAAAAGGAGTCCCTCTCTGGTGATTTGTCCTTTGGACAATTCACTGGTTCATACATTAACCTACAGTTTTGCTTGTCAATATCGGTTTGTTACTAGTGTACAGGTTTATCAGTTTTCTAATCTTGTATCTGGGCAAGAAAAGCTATGAAGACAGACATGTGACTGCAATAATTAATACACCTGGATGAACTTTCCCAGTAGATGCTCATGACAAAAAGGGCAAATACACATCTTTCATGTTCACCATCCCAGCCACACCTGGTGTCTAAATGGGGATTAGAATTGGCTAAGGAGACAGTTGTACTCTAAAATAACCTCCATAAACACATGCACTCAGCTGGGCAGAGTTTGAAAATTACATCCCTGAAATACAGATGAGCCTGTCTATGAAATTCTGCTTTGCAGACTTCTGGCTGCTTTAAAATGAGCTGTTTTGTAAAGGGATATTTCAGCCAAAGAATTTGACCTCTTGTGCACACCCTCCTTAAACCAGCAGGCATGTAACTACCCCAACACCAAAATACAAAAACCACATGGAAATGGTAGGAGAAACACAGTTGACTGTTTTGAAAGTGCTTAGGCCAACACACATACTACTTCTAGGGAGCAATTTTTTATTAAAAAAAAACCTAACCAAAACAAATACCACAATACTGTTCTGCATCTCCTAAAGAATGGAACAATTTGGGGAATGGACACCTGCAGGAAATATCTGGATTTACTTGCTTTTGGGCTTCTCAGAGAAACCAGAATTTCTTGGAATTCTTGACATTTTACTGCAGCAAGCAGGCTCTGCTGCCTTATATCCCGTTTAAGATACTCATTAGCATGCTGCTCTAAACTGGAGCATAAATCCAAAGTGCTTAAATTACCTTGTATTAGAGAATTTCATTGCTTTTAAGGACTTTCAGCTCAAAGCTGAATTAAAGTATTACCCCAGTCCTGATTTATTCTTTTAAATTATAAATAATAGCAAACGAACCATAAAAGCACATTTAAAATTTGGCAGCTTCTTGTAAGAGATTAAAACTCATTCAGCTAATGCATTTGTTGCAGAGCCAGACAGCAGGGATTGTAAACTACTCTCTGAAGACTGCTAGGAAGAAAACTGTGGGCCTCTGCAATGAGTACCTGGCTATTTTACCATTCAAAAAGCCTGAGCAGTTCAGTCACACATATCCTGTGTGAGTCATCACATGCTTCCTAACAACGATGGGGGAGGGGCAGGCAGGAAATTAAAAAACTCAGAATTATGTATGTTAATAAATGTCAGTTTATTGAGGAAATGGAGTTTTTGGAGATACCTGTTCCCATCAGGGCACTTCCCCATGGCTTTGGGAATGCAGGAATCACAGGATGGCTCCTGCTTTTCATGTCAAAAAGGAGCATTTCTGAATTCTGGGTGGGGAAATTACATGTCAGAAATGCCCACAAAGTTGCACACCCTCTATTCCTCATGGTGGCCTGAGATGCTGATCAGGGCAGACTCAGCTCTGACCAACATGTGAGGCATGATACAGTTGCTTAACAAATGCTGTTTGCTACCAAAATCTGAAAAGAACAGAGGGAAAAAAAAAAAAAAAAAAAGGAACAAACGGTTTCTCACCTACATGCTAGCTATAAATCTTGGTACTGTGATGGTGCCAGGCTGCATGTGGCTGTACCACCCACAAGTAACACCACCTGGGAAGGTAACACAGCTAGAAAACATTTGCCTACTGTACCATAAAGAGCTACTTCTCCCGAGGCCCCGTCGATCTCGACCATCTGTAACCACTGCCAGTAGCTGCATGTGGCCTTTGGCAGATTCAGTGAACTGCACTGAAGATGATGCAAAGATGATTTAGAGCATATTAAATGGTACTCCAGCAACTAACTCCAGTAACACTTTGAATCTTGGGGTCACTAAGAGCATTTCTCTAAACTCCAGGCCGTTCCAAAGCACATGACTCACTCCTGACAGGATCAGACTAAGTGGAGATCTTTCAAAGCAAAGCTGCATTCATAAAGGGTTCCCACATCCACTCTCTGAGAACAGGCTTGCACAGCCACTTTCAGCGTAAGTGATGTAGGGGGAAAAAGTGAAAGATACGAATCAAAAACAACATAAAACACAGGACAGTTTCTTTCAATGACTTCAAAACTACCTTCCTAAATTAACAAACCAGACATTTGTAATTCAGATGCACTGATCCATAAGCAGCTGACCAGCAGGCACCAAGAGAAACGACGAATTTTTTGTTGGTTTTGTAAACTGAAAACCACAGGCAGCCTTTCTGAAGTTTCTTGTTGTGATCACTGGTAACCGAGGCACCCATGGCAAAATGGCACACTTGCTGGATGAGTGAGACTGCCCCCGGACTCAAAGGTCCAAGGTGTGGCCAGGCTACTGTCAACTGGGATGCCAGCAGGTCATGGTAACAACCCTACCGACAGCACAGGAGTGTCTGTTCATGGAGCAATTACAAGCAGCAAGTTGGGTGGGAGAGCCTTCTGAAAAAGGACAAAAAAAAAATCTGAAATTTCCCTTGTCCCCAATTCTGCAATGTGACAAAGCCAGCAGATCAAAACAGGTCCGGGTCATCACGCAGTAAAAATGAGACCACCGGCAGGCTGCAAAGCCGCCAAGATCCTGCCAGCATGCCAGCACCCAAGCGGTCGTGGAAAAGGCCTATGGGGAGCACAGTTCCAGTGCAGATAAAACACACGCCAGGCTGCCACGTATCACGGTACTGCTCACAGGACTGAATACGTCCAGTGGAAAGCGCCGCTGGGATGCATAACAACTGTACTCATGGCCCTACCTCACAGCCCATTTTAAACCCGTGCCGCTCATTCAGCAGGTCCGCGGACACAGAAATGCTGCGAAAAGCCTGCACAGCGCAAAAAGCCCTGCTGAGCCTTCCCGTGGCATTGCGTAAGAGCAGCATTTTGGGTAGAGTTCCCAGAAGAAATTACCCAACCTCGACGATAACCAGAAAGAAACCTAGCCGGGCGGTGTGGGAGCGCTTCCCGAGAGCGGAGGGTCTCCGCTCCCGCTGCCGTGCCTGCGGCAGCATCCGCGCCGCGCTCCCTCTCGCACCGGCTCCCCGGGGATTCTCCCACAATCCCCCTCCGCCGGCGGCACACGCGGGAGCAGCCGCGCCGCTGTCACCCCGCGCCCGCTCCGCACGGGCGCACCGGGACCCGGCGGCGGCCGCCCGCGCCTCCTCCCCCGCGGCCCGGGCGGCGTCGGGCAGCCCCGGGCGGCGGGCGGGGAGGCGGCGGGGCCCCTGCTCGTCCCCCCGAAACCCTGCCGGGACGGCACTCACCGAGCAGCGGGGAGGGCTCGGGGCAGGGGCCCGACGGCGGCGGCGGCTCGGCGGGCGGGGGCCGGGCCCGGGCGGCGGGCGGCGACGGGCGGGAGAGCGGCAGCGAGAGGTTGGCGGGCGGCGGGCGGCGCGGCGGCGGCTCGGGGCTGCCCGGCGGCCCCAGCGCGCTGCCCGCCAGGTAGTAGAACAGCGTGGCCGAAAGGTGGAGGGCACAGAAGACGACGAGGAGGCGGCAGGCCCGCTGCAGCGAGGTGCCGGGCAGCGACGGCTCCTTCATGCCGCTGCGCTGGCGGGGAGCGCCGCCCGCCCCGCGCCGCGCCGCCGACGGGGGACGGGG